AAGATGGTGCTCTCTGCAAAGCAGTAAGTGCCAGACTGAAAAGAAATGGTGGTAGTGCTGGAAATATATGACATTATGAACTATTTCTGTATCTAAAATACACATTTGACCTCCTAATAGTTGTCTTTAAAAGTTACCTGTGTACTAACAGGCTTACTGGAAGATGGGAGCAGAATGCTGAAAGAAGAACTAGTTTCAAGGCAACTCTTTCTAAATTTATGGATAATATTCTATAATAATGTAGATACCTTTTACACCTTTTCCTCAAAGCCTCCCTGATAAGGATTTCAGCTAATTCAGAGGCTTTCTGGAGGAATGGGGGTGGTGTCTTCAAATATAGATACATTCATGGGAAATGGTTCTGCCATAAAACTACTGTCTTTTGTACAGTGTCATAAAATCTGCATGTTACACTAGTATGTCAAATCTGTTAATAAAGACACATGTTATATGTTATATGTTCTATATCATAGAAAAACATGCAATGCTATGGCGTGGTAAAACTATTAAACTACCCAATAATTAGAGGGAGTGCCATAAGTGAATCTAAAGTCAGAAAAATGGCATGACCAGAAAAAATAGACTGTTTGAGGTGACAGAAACACAAGTAAGACTACAAATTTATGCAGCATCATGTATTTATTGTGCAGTTGTTAGGTATTGGATACAATTTAAAAAAAAAAACAAACAAAAAACAGAGAAGAAAGAGATAATTTGGGTCTACAAAGGAAGACATAACATGAAATAAGAGGAAGTGTCAGAACTGTTTGATAATAAGGTGGTTTAACTGACTTTCTTGGGATTTCTGTGAGCTTGTCCTTCAGTTTATCTTAAGTAATGATGTGTCCCAGATGGCCTGAACCCTGGCACTTTGTGATACTGACCCAATAAGTGCAACTTTACTTCTACAGCTTTGTGCTGAAAATCTGAGTTTCACTTTAGGAAGAAAATTTTACTAAAAGTCACCGAGTTTCTCCTGGTTTGAGCATCAGCCTAGAGCTGTGTTGAACCTCTTGCAATGCTAATGCAATTTAGCTCAAAACTAGTTTGGACAAGAACCCATCGTTAAGAATTCCAGACTCTTAAGCCATAGTGGAAGAATCTTTTCCATGACCCTACAGAGATCTTAGACCAGGCTACTTTACTGAAAGACCATTGTTTTTCTTCCTTTTCAAGTATTTGTCCTGGTCAAACATTTACTAGTTACCCTTTAGAGTGTTTTCAGGGCCCTGAACTGTCTGCTTTCGTCTTGGCTGCATCTACACAAGCAGAAGTTAGAAGCATCATCCATCATAATAGCAGTGCCACAATAACATGGTTCCTGTAAGCTGTATAGCCTCCATTGTCTCATCAGGGTAGAAAATACAAAAGGAAAAATGACAACAGCCTGCCTATACCAACAATGACCATGAATATAGATACTTCTGAGTGTTTGTAGACAAGACCTGAAAACAAAGCCATGTTAGAATATAGCTAAAAAGTGGGATTAATACAACAGTAATCAGACATGAAAGCAAACTGCATTCAGTGAAGCTGACTAAACCATGCCAGTTTTCTAGAAAATACAAAAGGAAAAATGACAACAGCCTGCCTATACCAACAATGACCATGAATATAGATACTTCTGAGTGTTTGTAGACAAGACCTGAAAACAAAGCCATGTTAGAATATAGCTAAAAAGTGGGATTAATACAACAGTAATCAGACATGAAAGCAAACTGCATTCAGTGAAGCTGACTAAACCATGCCAGTTTTCTATCATCTGTCTCATGAAAGCAAACTGCATTCAGTGAAGGTGACTAAACCATGCTAGTTTTCTGTCATCTGTCTCATGTAATCAATAGATGAATAACACTTCACAGAAACAAACACAATGCATTTTCTCAGTTAGTTTTCTCTCTTTGTAATAAAATCCCCTGAGCTTGTATGAAAAAAAAAAAAAGAGGGGGAAAAAAGAAAATAAAAGAGAAGAAATTAAATAAAGAAAAACAAACTAGCTACTATTTTTTCTGTATAAATTGTAGCATTTAACTTCTTAAAAGTCTTTCTTACTGGTCATTCTTGATTCCTTGAATTTCCAGTCAGTGAATTATCAACTAATTTATCACCTCACAGAGTAGGGATAATCTTCTTATCCCTGAAAATGAATGTTGCTGAGCTAGTCTTACTAACCAAAGTCTGTTTTTCCTACTCTTATGTTAGCAGATAAGCCATGACTACAAGAAGTCAAAGTTAAAAGTTTCAAATAAGCCTATGAAGACTTTTTAGAGCTAGATATTTTGAAAAAAAAAACAACCAATGTGCAGCTAAGAATTCATATTCTGTAGAATTCTCCCCTTAACAAACCAACCCAGTTTTGAGCACTGGGAAAGTCAATCTGATTTTGGTTATACCATTGTCTCATCCTAGGAGTTGCATGTTCCCAGTCAATCATCTGTGTCATATCTGCCTGTGTTCCTTTTAACTCCAATTGACTGATTATCTGTATCAGATTTTAATACTAGCAATACTAGCAATAAATTCTTCTACTCTGTTAATTTAGGGATGCAGGCCATGGACAAGAAAGTTATTGCATGAACAGAGCACTAGAGAAGCCTCTTTTCATTTTTGCTTGTGGCCCAAGGAAAATCTGAACACTAGACTGTATTTGTTTTAAGATAACTGCCTACCTAGCTCTGCAGGCAGATAGTGTGCAATATGATTAGGACAATCCCAGTGCCTCTAAACACAGAAAAATGTAAAAGGAAAATACCACAACTGATGAAATTCAATAAAATAGCTTTACACTAAGAAGCAACTACAACTTAGATTGAGGTATGACTTCATATTTGTACTTGCACTGCTTCATGCTTTTTTCTGGCTATGACCATAAAAGATATCTAATCAAGATTGTGCATTATGAGTAACTATTACATTTATGGAAATTGATAGATTAATTCCAATTCACTTCTTAATGGTTCCTTTACAATTAATTACCCTGAAGTCCCTAATACATTCTGAGTGTTACAAACTGACATAACAATAGTACTTTCATTTCATAAAAGAGATCCAAAAACAGTCCCACAAAATGAATTATGTCCCCATGACAAAAGAGAAGAATTGGAAGCTTTAATTACATCTAAATGTCTAGCATGACTAGCTATTTCACCAGACTGAGGAGTAAAATACAATCCAGCAAGGTTTGTAAACCCCCAGTGGACAAGGAATTTAATTTGATTCTGTTGTGAAAGCAATGACAAATATCAGGAAGGACAGCATGCAGTGCTGCTCAGATAAACTACACTGTGAATGACACAGAGACAAAATTAAGGCTATTTTCACTGCTATTAATATGGAAAAGTACACTAATGAATCTTAGGAGGAGAGGGAAAGGGTTAAAAAAAGAAAGAAAAATTGTAGCCAGACCATGGCAATTTTGTGATCTATAAATTTTAACATCTAACATTTTAACACTTATCATTTAGAATTAATCTACATAAGTCTAGACATAGTATTAATAAAAACATTAAATATCTATCTATAAATTCTATCCAGTACATGCTAAACCTGGTTTGAAAGCAGATTGGACTGGTTAGTGGGTAAAACTGTGTTTAAATTCAAGCTGAGCATTGCTGAATTAGAAGCTTTCTACAAAATTAGGAAACAATTGCATAGTACAAACTTCCTGTGATTTTTTTTCAGACTCTTCCTTTGAGACCCAGGAAAAGGGACTGTGGTATTTAGCCTATCTAATGAGAAAGACAAAACAAATTAGCAATCTATGATTTGGCAGCTGGAACCAGTTTCCTTTGACTCAAAGAATGAAACATACTTTAAGAAACAAATTGGCTTTTATGGTCTTTTAAAAATGCAGTAACTTAGATTAAATCCTTCAGTGGAATTTACAGCATTCAGTGAATTATCTCATGCTTTCTAAGGCCATCTAAGACTGCATTGCAAGATGTGATTCAACAGGATAAAATTTTTTCTCAGTCACTCAATGAAATAAAGACAGAAAGACTGCTTAAATACCAAGAAGAAATAAATTTAAAAATAATAAAAAAGAGATACTGTACAGTTCATTCTGAAGTCACTTAATATTTCTAGACACAAAAAAAATAATTTCTGCAGTAGATTTCACATATTTCTTCCAAATTATCTCCTGTAAAACCTATTTTTAATTAATACAGACTTTTGCTTGTCAAAGAAACATTTTAATGCCTTAGTTCTAGATTTTTTTGCTTTGTTTTCAGCTGAAATGAACAATTCAAGTCAGATTTAACACCTTCCAAAAATACAGCACTGTAAAAATAAAAATCTGAACTACCTATTTAAAATACTGCTGAATTTCAGGATTTATGCAATCATTTCAACACTATCTTGAGTGAATAATGCCATTTCCATTAACTCTGAGAGTGTAAAATCAAGGCCCTGAAAATACTGAAATAAATTTTTCAGCTAATATAACTGTTCCAGTCCATCACCAAACCTACTGCACATGCACAACACACAGCATTTCATCCAGAAAACTCAAGACTTTATTTATAATAATGATAGGAATTCTCTGTTGAACTTTCTTTTCCATTATCTTTGGATAAAACCTAAGGACTCACAAAATAATTCAGAAAATTGAAAGATTCTCAGTCTCATCATTTCCACAGTTTCCATGAAAGCATAGATATGAATTTACAAACATTTCTGAGTTCCTCCTACCACTGCTAGTGGCAGGTGTGG